TATTTGCAAAATAAAGAGAAACTATGTTGTGAAAGAGAGTCTGCCTTGACAAAGATTAGAGCCAAATTGATAAGTCACAAAGCACTTGACAAAGAAAAAAAAAAAAAAAGTTATAGCCTTTAACTTCTGATGGATATCCAAGAAGAATACATTTTCTTGCTTGAGGTTCAGCTTATTTTGGGAAAATGTGCATATGCTGCACAACCAAAGATCTCTAAATGATTTAAGCTTGGAGGTTTTCCAGACCACACTTCTTGAAGTGTTTTCAAATTTAGAGCAGTAGATGGGCTCCTATTTATTAGATAAGCTGCAATAGAAATAGCTTCCCCCCAAAACAACTTAGGAAGCCTTGCATTAGCAAGCATACAACACACCCTTCTCAAGCAAAGTTCTATTAAACCTTTCTGCCAAGCCATTCTGTTGGGGTGTGTAGGGAACTGTATGATGCCTCTTAATTCCACCCTTCTTACAAAGATTTATAAAACTGTCATTAAAATATTCAAGAGCATTGTCCGTTCTCAAGGTTTTTATTCTTTTTCCGGTCTGGWTTTCAACTAAAATTTTCCAGTTTACAAAGGTTTCAAAAGCATCATTTTTTCCTCTTCAACATATATACCCATAATTTTCTAGAGTAGTCATCCACTGTTGTCATAAAGTATTTATCACCTCCAAGTGTGGTAACTCTAGCTGGACCCCAAAGATCCGAATGGACATATTCCAGAACTCCTTTAGAAGTATGTAAGCCTTTTGAGAATTTAATTCTTGTTGAATTACCTCAAGTGCAGTGCTCAAAAAATGGAAGTTCAGTTGGTTTAAATTTTCCTAATAAACCTTGTTTACCAAGTTCATCCAAGCCCTTTTGAGAGACATGAGCAACTCTCTTATGCCAAAGAACAATTTCTGAATTTACTTGTTCCTCAACTGGTGTAAACCAAAAGGAGAAATCTTGAACTATTATTGAATTAATGATCAACAAAAAGGGCCAGCTATTTAAAGAGGCTGGAAACCCGAAACAAAGGACTTAACTGCCCAAAACAAACTAGTTGCCAACTAACTTTAAAACAGAAAGCCAACTGACTTAAAACTAAACAAAATACCAACTGATTAAGAAAACTAATTCTACTGATATTACATCATCAATAGTGTTCACCTCCCTCATGTGAATTAACGGAAGAGCCTTGAAAATACAAACCATTTCTCGAAGTACCCTTCATTTTTAATAAGGATCCCTTATAAATTTGTAGCACTCTACCCTCTGATTTATATGAATAACTTCCCTTATCCAACGGTCCTAGAGAAATCAAATTTCTCTTCAAATCAGGGACAGATCTCACCTCCGGTAGAATCTTGTCCAAACCATCATATAGTCTTAATTTGACTGAGCTAATCCCCTTTACTTGACATTGATGATCATTGCCCATTAAGACTTTACTTCCATCAATCTCCTTCAAGTCTTGAAAGTAATCTTTACAAAGGGTCATATGGTATGAACAACCCGAGTCAAGGATCCACTCATCACAGAGAGCAGATTCTGAAACTGTCAACACCTCTGCAGATTCATATCCCTCATGGACACTTGCTGAGGTTTGTCTTTCATCCTTCTCTGGGATTTTATTTTTATTTTTATTTTTTAGCTGGAAACAGTTCCTAATGAGATGCCCTTCCTAATGGCAGTAGTAACACTTCCTCTTTTCTTTACCTATTGACTTTTATCTATTTTCATTTGACTTTGCTGGAGCTTTGGATTTGTTTTCTGTTGTATACCTAGCCACCAAGCCCTCTACTTCCTTTTTTTTTCCTGATTTTATCTCAAAGTCCTTTGATCTAAGATCATCTAGGACTGTAGATAGAGATAACAAATCCATACTGTACTTAATTGCGGTTTTTACTTCTTTGTAATTTTCAGGCAGTGAATTCAACAATATTATCGCTTGATTCTCATCAACAAGTTTTTCTCCTATGTTTGCTAAGTCCATGCATATTCTGTTAAAGTCATCCAAGCTTTCTTCTAGTGATTTAGAGGCTTGCATTTTATATCTGAAAAACTTTTCCTTAAGGTAAATCTTATTAGGCAGAGATTTACTAAGTATAGAGTAGTCTCTAGCTTCTTCCAAAGATCTACAACCTTATCAGTATCATTAACCTGTCTTAAAACATTGTCAGACAAATGAAGTATTGTTGTACTGTAAGCAATCTCTTTCATTTTTCATCGTTTTTCCTTTGTGAATGTTTCTGGCCGAGTATCTGGATTGTCAAGAATTTTCCAACCTTTTTGTTGGACCAGAAGGCTTTTAATTTCTTCCCCTGAGGCTAAAGTCCCCTTTTCCGTCAAATTTATTCAATTCAAACTTGGCAGACATTATCACAAAAATTTCACAAAACAGAGTCGAAGAAATAGAACAATTAGATAGAGATTCAGAACAAATACGAAACAAACTGATAAAAGACGAGTTGAATAATGATGAATCTAGGTTGAAATTCAAACTTTGATGACAGTAACAAGTATCGCAGTATCAGAAGAAAATAAGCAGCAGTAAGATCAATGTCCAGCTCTGATAAAATTTGTTAAAATAATAAACCCAAAAAGACAGATCCAATAATCAACAGATGCACAGATTGATACTACCAGTCTTAATCAGGAGCAATACTTCAGCAGAAAACAAAGTAAAAGTGTAGAAGAAAAAGAGAACACACAGTACTTATAGTGGTTCGACCACATAGGTCTACATCTACATCCACTATGCAAGACAAGTAATAGCCTTCATTGCATCTCAGTTCATCGAGCCATTACAATCGAGGAAGGAATTTCCAGCAATTACAGAGGAAAATTCTCCCACACTCAATTTTGCTTCTCAGAAAAACGAAGAAGAATGTAAAATTATGGAAGGATAATTAACACACCATCTCACATGCTTTCTCTAATTAATCTGAGAATTACAAAATCACTCCACTAAGCCCATGTAGCAAACTTTTCTGATGAGGCCTCCACAACAGAAAGTCACATGGGTAAAATGAAGGAAAGTTCCATTTTGGATTCCAGCTCAATTATAAAGGTCCAGGTCCAGCTCAAATATAAATGGGTCAAACAATTAACAGGACAATGGAGGAGGTTCTTTTAAATCCCGTTTTATGTGATTTTCAGACTTTTGGGGTGTGGTTAGCCTTCAACAAGGATGGTTGTGCTATGATGGAAGAGATTCTTTTGAACAACTCAGAGGTATAATCTTTAACGTTATTTGGTTCATTTGACTTGGAAGATGTAGGACTAAGGTTGGAGAGAATCCAATGTTCTAAATATACAAGGTTGACCTAATCCTATAAGGAGAAGGTAAATGACAAATTAATATTAATACAAGAATATAAAATATACTGATATATATACTCTAACAGAAGGAGTAGAGAAATTCCTTTTGGGTATCTGAAAGGTCTTGGAAAGAGGTTTGGAGCTTGGTGCATCTCAATGCCTTCCTTTTGAGTTTTTATGACTAAGCTTTTTTCCAATTTTTCTTTATTCTTGGTTCTTAACAATGGGAGCCAATTTCTCCTTTATTTGTTCTTTTTTTTTCTTCTTTTTCCAGGTTTTGTTTTTAGGCTCCAATTCTTGGCCATTGTTTTTGTATGCTCTTATTCTTTGTACCTTTGCTTATCTGAATAAAAGCTAGCTTTTAATCTCCCCCCACACCCAATTTTTTTTTTTTTTTTGATTTCATACTGCTAGAGTGGCACAAGTTTAATTCCTCATCATGATCATAATTTAGGATCCATACAGATCATCATAAACCTCTAAACTGATATTGCATTACTAATTAGAGACAATGCAAACTGCAGAACAAAAAGATTTAATGTGGACTTCAAATGGTCCAAGTAACAATTGAACGACAATGACTATGAAATCAATATACTCCATTCAAACCAAGACGTACTTTGACTTGTTCTAGAGAAATTCTGCAAACAACAAGAAAATGAAACTACTTCCAAGTTCCACCGATTCCTCATCATTTCTCTCGGATCGAGATGCGCAGTGTTATTAGATCACTAAATGAGATGCTAGTCAAATTAAATACTAAACAAACATTCTCACAAATAAATAAACATTATATTATGCCTTACTTTCTAATTAATTATCTGAAGGAATAAATAAAGTCTACAGGTATAGAAAGAATTTAGATTGCTCAGCTCAAGGTAAGATTGTACATGGTTTATTTGCATTCAAATAAACCATGTACAATTGAACGACAAGAGATTATTGAAATTTCTACCATGAAGAGATATTTGAAAACATTGTAAGAACATACCGAAAGTCTCAATCGTGTTTGCGGTTCTTTCCACTTCCTACAGATACGATATTCAAGAACATTACATCCTCAAAAGAAAGGAAATTTAAAATTTAATCTAGGTCAAAGTAAACAGATTAGAAACTGAGAAGCACGGATGTGTCCGTGTCCAACACTTATCCGACACTCCAACTCTCCAACACTTGTTTGACACTTATCGAACACTTGTTAAGCATAATAAATAGACATAAATAATAATATAGGACAAAATGACAGAGAAATACATAAAACTCATTTTTAAAACCACATAAATGGATAAACTTATCGACTATGAAATTCCTTCATGTATAAACATGATATATTTAAAAAATGGTGTCTTTAAAATGACATGTCACGCCGTATCATGTCTCGTGTCCGTATCCATGCTTCGAAGAGAATTAAAACTATAACAACAGCAACAGACCTGAACCATAAGTTGACGGGTGCGGCGAAGGCTCTCTGTGATGCTTTCTGCAGCAGATGTCATTCCAGCCTTAGTTCTGCAAAAGGAGAAATAAAGATTTTGTACATTACAAAAGAAATGGAATTTAATACCAGAGTTTTAGAAAGTTATTATAAATCTTCTGAAAACATTAAGTATTGACAACATACTGTAAATTCCGTCTGCGAATTGTGGACTCTTCTCCTCCGCCTAGAAGGCGTTCTCTCTACAATGAAATTCACCAAAATTTTGAGAATAACATAAATTTTCACATGGATGAATCTTAAATAAATTTTCAATTCCGGAAATGATGGATGAATACCACATTTTAACAGTAAGAAAAACTATGGCTAATCTGTAACTGTTTTCGACAATTCGATAAAAACCAGTTTGAATGATAGTCACCTCCTCCTGAGCAGCCTTTCTCATGTTGGCTTTTGCTTGCATATTTGCATTTCTCAGACTCGATCGCAAACTGAAATATATACACAAAACATTCGTTACTACCAAACAACAATGAAGAAATTCGAGTCAAATTCTAGATGCTCAATATGCAACAATTCAATTAAAAGGAAGAGTGAGATGAGTTACTTGTGGGATTGATTTTTCCAAGATTCAATCAATGATTGAGCAGCCTCAACTTCGGAATCAGAGAGCAACTGGGGCGCAAGAAGATCAAGCTTGAATTCTAACGAAGATAGCAAATTCAATCCATCTTGTGCGAGGGCATTCAATCTTGGGAGCGAATTCTTCTCCGTCGACTCACTTTGTTTCTCATATACTTCAATTGCTTTAATCTGATCAAGAGTCTTATGGTAAGCATCGTTCCACTCATTTTTCACCCGATCCACCTCCTCTGACACCTTGTCCATTTCAGGATCTGAAGAACGTTACAAAACGTTTGAAACTTGGTCCTTCTTTGTTAGATCGCTTCCTCACCATAAACCTTTACTTCACCTGAAAATAATATTTGCAGAGGGGGGTGAGTATAAAAATACTCCGTAAGTAGCCCTCACTAACTACACACAATCAGCATGTTCAACGACACAATATCCAACAAAACAAATTTAATTAATAATCATGCTTAATTGGACATATCTATTTAACAAGCTCAACAACATTCATTCAGTATACACAACACAAGTGTTCTAAACTACAAGGCCCGACAAGTCCCTAGCTCTCTCAAGCTTTCCAAACTTATCTCAAGTTCCTACTGGTCACATCCAACTCACTCAGCTCTCCAAAACTAACTCTTTCAAATCGTATCGACCCTTGACCATTTGTACCCAGGGCCCTGACACTCCTTTACAGAAACTTGTCATTCGACCCTTGACCATTTGTACACAAAACCTCAATGACTTCACAACCTATTGGCCCCTGACCCTTTGCACACAAGGCCACTAGTTGCCTTCCATCAAGACTCGTCACATCGATCCTCGACTTTTTGCACCCGAGGCCCTGACACTCATCTTTGTCCAACTTTGGCATATCAACCCTCAACCATTTGTACCCAAAGCCTCGATACCCAATTCGTGACGTATCAGCTCCCGACTATTTACACCCAAGGTCCTGACACTCACCCATTCTCTATCCATTATCAACCAAGCGCTCTCATTCCGCTCCTAGCCCCCAACTAGGATTCTAATACATGCTCTCTAAACGTGCTAACAACAAGTCTCATCACAATAACTCAATCCAACATGCTTTTATCACAACATCACAAAACTCGAAAACACAACAGTTTGACAATAACAGTGTTTCTGCGTTTAAGGGTTTGGTTTTATTGCATAGAAGATATTTTTACGTTTTACTGCTTAAAAGACATTTTTACGTTTTATTGCTTAAAAGACATTTTTACAAAAGCTCTGAGGCGCACAGGCTTTGCATCTCAAAGCTTTGATGGGAGGCACGCTTATAGCACGCCTCCTTATTTCCGCCTCACCTTTTCAAGGCGAGGTGCGAGGACTTCGCCTAGCACCTAGGCATGTGCCTCGGTGCGCTTTTTAAATCACTGGACAACAACCAGCACGCTCTTATCATAAAGAACACAAGCATAATGATTCTTATAACAATCAGCATACTTTATCAACCCATTTAGCCATAACAAGTAATTTCTAGCATGCTTTTCATCATACAGAACAAATGCCACAGTATCCACAATAAGCCACCATGTTTTTTCTAAGTAGACATAAAACATATTGCAGCTCAACCAATATATTTCCATACATCTACCAGCAAAAAATACCTATGCAAGCGCCAAACATTAAAGTTCAACAGAAACATCAAGACATGCTTTTAAGTAGTAACCAACAAAACTAGCTCATGCATAACCAACAGCCAATCACAATTTCATGTCAAACATTCATATAATAAGATAAAAATATAATAGGAACAAACACATTAAGATGTAAAACAAATTAGCATACGAACATGCGCACACACGCCTCTGGCACTACTTGCAACACTTCTAAAGCTCCTAGCTCTTGAGTTTGATTGGTTCCTAGGCACAAAAGGAAAATTTAGAATGTTAACACTCGATTTTTATCACTAAAAACGATTCTGAAGTGGTTCAAAAGGGTCGTTACCAACTGACCCTTGTCAAAAACAAAGGGGTACTAGCTGAAAGGCATCCAGAGTGTTCGGGCTTGCGAATACGGTGTCAACAGGGGCTGGGTACCACGGATCTGGGTCAGAACGGGCGTGGGTTACCGTCGTAATCCGTCAGGATGAAGGGAATCGTTGCTGCTGGTCCGTTCGCCGTGCTGCTGTTCGGGTTGTGCCAATCTCGCCGGAGGGAACAGCCGCGATCGCCGCAAAATTCGCCGGAGGGAGAGGGCGCCGCAGATCTGGTTTCGTTCGGGCTGCTCGCGGGTCGCCGGAGACACCGGATTGTTGGTCGTGGGAGAACAAATCGCCGCTGCAGGCCTACGCCGCCGGGGTGTTTCGCGCGTCGCCGGAGGACGTCGGGGCTGCCGCCGGGGGGGTGGTGGTCGCCGGCTGGTGAAAGAAGAAAGGGGAGAGGTAAAGAGATGGGTTACCTTTTTTTTTTCCTTTTAAAAAGGTAATTATACCGTAGGATTAATGAATCACCTTTAACACTTCAGAAGTTTGAGGGGAATTTTCTTTAACCCTGTTTGGAACTTCGATTTCGAGGATTTCAAGCCCGGTTTGATATTTCGTTTTTTGTTTTTTGATTTTTAAAAACAATTCAATTCTCTGTTCTTTATTTTTTAAAAATCATTTTGAAATTACAGGTAAATTTTAAAAAAATAGTTTTTAAAAACAGCTTTCTTTTCTTCGAAAATCTCTTTTTTTTTTTTTAATACTCAACCTTTTTATCTTTCTTGTATTTATCTTTAAAAAGATTTATTTTTCCCTCTAAATTTTTTTTATTTCCAAATTTCTCTATATGAACTTTAATTTTCTTTTTTTAAAATTTTCATATTTTAAATATTTATTATTATTTATCTTCCTCCATTTTTCCTATACTTTTATTTTCGTAATCTATTTTTATTCTAAAAATTATATTTTATTTAATTGTTTAATTTTCTTTTTCCGTAACTTTTATTTATCTCCATATTTATTTATTTTATCTAAAAATTATATTTTGAATCTTGTTTTTATCTCTAAATTTATATTTTCTCTTTTTTTATAATTTCTTTTTTTTTTCTTAAACATATCTTTTCCTCTTGACTTTATTTTTTTCCTCTAAAATTTTTCTTTCTTGTCTTTTAACTTTTCTTTCACTATTTTTTTTCTAAATCTTTTTATTTATCTCTCTAAAATTTATCTTCAAGAARTTTATTTACATATTTTCATGTATCTACATTAGGGGATGACAAAAAATTTCGCAAGGTCGGGTCCCAAATGTCCCGACCCTATCTCCGTCCCCGATTCCATTTTTTAAATAATTAATATATATTTATTACACTATTTTTATACTTAAATTATAAAAATAATCATAAATAATTATAAAACCGATAATTTTTCTCGAGAACATCTCTCAGACCGAAGAACGAGGTGGAGACGGTGACTAAAATTTTCACGAGCACGAGAATCAGGGAGAGCATCCTCACTCCACCACACTATTGTCATCTCTACCCTATATACTCACTCTAATATGTATTTTCTATTTTCTAACTTTTTAAAAACAAAAAACAAAAAATGATTATCAAATATATATAGTTTTTGTTTTTTAAAAACGGAAACCAAAAACCTATTTGGATTAATTTTGCTTATCACCCTATCTACTTACATTTAGCTCTCTTCTACATTGAGCATCTTTTTTATACAAATCATCGAATAGAAAGTTAGTTTCAAATCTTACATTTATCTTATCTGATTTTTTTTATTTTAATAATTATAATCTAAATCTCTAAACGCATACATTTTTTGCATCATCGTCTAAGTAAATTCCAAGTTAATTTTCTCTTTGGGTTTGGTGTATTAATTTTTTTCTATTTAATTATTGTTTGGATCTTGTTTATGGTGTTTAGGTTGATTTTTTTCTTCTTTCTTCCTTTTGCTTTTGTTTTTGAGTACTGCATCTCGTACAATAACTATGATAAAAATAAATAAAATAAATAAACATCTTGCTACTAATTGAGGTGAAAAAAAGGATTTTCATGTGTTTTTTGTAAGATTTTTTTTCCTTTTCGTTTCAGTTTTATTGTTTATTCAATTTTTTTTAGAAGAGAAATATCAATTTAACTTTTTATTTTATTTTACATTTTTTTTTGAGGAGGTAGAATTTAAAAGAAATTCCATCCATCACTATTCACTTTGAGTGAAAGGCCTAGCAAGAGATAATTATAATATTGGTTAAAAAAAATCATTAGAATCTCTCTCTACTCCAACACACTAGGGAAACTTTTGTTTTCTGTTTGAGTTTTTTGCTTTTGACCGTAAATTTCGTTTTTTGTGAGGAGGTGGAGGAAAATCTAAAAGAGCTTGAAATTGTTTGATCATATTTTTGGTATGGAATCTATATAGAATTTATTTTACAATTTTACCTGAGACTAGAGCGTCACTAATTTTATTTTCTTAACATACAATAAATATTAAAAATTAGGGTTGATGTATCAAAGTGAGCATAGACATATATCTCCGGTGGTTGTTAGTTCGATTTCCTATTTTAATATATATAATAAATATATGAAAATAAAAAGGAAGGTTGTTAAGTTTTTTTTAATATAATAAATACGTCTATCTCTATTTTGATTTAATTTAAAATGTTATAATCATAATTGTATTTATAATTTAATATTTCAGTTGAGAAAGCATAATATCTTGAGAAATTGGACACAAAATAGATAAATTGCATTTGGTGCAATAACAATTTGTATTGATTATGTCGTTGCATAACGAAGTAGAGATATCTTACGAATGGACCCGTTAGCATTTAGAAGATTAGTCGATAACACATGTAATACACATGGAATTTGTCCGTTTATTTTACGAAGTACAAACAGAAGCGTAAATAAATAACATGAAATAAATATTTATTTTAAAATAAAGCAAAATTCATATTACATTTATGTTATCTTAGTGTTTTTTTTTTTCAAAGGAACGTGGAATTGGATATCAGGATTGATGTATTCTGATTTTACATTCATTTCTTTTATGGATTACACATATATACTAAATTCTTACTGATAAAAGTATGTATTTAATTATTTAAAAGTATTGCAATAATAAATTTAATGCACTTTACATCACCTGTACTGTTCGCATGGATTTATAAACTAAAAGAATTTTCAAATTTGAGATAATACATGTATATTGTCACTTTAAAAATATAAATGATTAATCCTCCGAAAAAGAGTAAAAATGATTAGAATTCAAATTATTTTATGACGTTTTTTTAGATGAAGGTATTAGAAAATTTCTTTAAAAAAAAAGTTGAAATATGTAAATATTTTTATATAAAAACTATTTGGTAATTTTTTACAAAAATAATAATGATCACATGCATATCACTATTTGAGAGGTCCATGATTCGATGGATGACTCTACAATTGTTAAACTTAGAAAATAAATAATCTAAAAAAATGATATTGAAAAAGTAAGTGAAATTTATACCTTTATACCCTATTGTAGTCATTAAAAATTTTATATTTATTTAATTTATTAGGAACAAAAGTGGTAAAAAAAAAAACTAAATCAAGTATAAATGTTGAAGAAAAATAATTGAAGAAAGTGAGTATAAGAAATTGGAGACTTCTCTATTTCAATTTTGACCAATAGTATTGGGCTAATCTCCAAGCCCACGTAAGAAACCATTAATAATAATAATAATAATAATACATATTTTTAAGGGATAAAAGAAAACAAATCCTAAACCGAGCATAGCTCAGTGATAATTGACATATATCTCCAAGAAGTTATGAGTTCGATCTCTCAACCACACATGCTTTACTAAAAAAATAAAAAGAAAAAATCCTAAGTCTTAATTTCTCATCCTTTCATTTCTCCTTGAACCAAGGAACGGCCGACCGCTTCCCTATGCAAAGTATTCATCCCTTCTATGGTTCCAATTCGTTTTTTAGTTGATAAATGGTGAGAGGAGAAGATTAAAAGAAGGAGAACATGAGGTGATAGCGAGACAAACCAAGCCAATATGCTTTGAGATGGACCATCAATCGGCTTCAGGATCTACTTCATGTCAAACCAAGAATGTCATCTTCCACTCCCAATTATAGTAAGAAAATTGTAAAAAAGTGGAAACTCTTACTTGTTATTGCAATTTTGGAGGTTTCAGTTGAATTCAATCTCTAAGCAAATCATTTGTAGTAACGATTCTCAGTGCAATTTCTAACTCTGATAAGGTTTCGATGTATAAATGGCAGTCCCAATTATGAAACCCCTTCTCTCCCACTTTTCTCTCTCACTTCACACCTTGGAACGCACCGTTCTTATAGAGAAAGAGGCGCTTTCACATCTTCTTAACCCGAAATTGGCAAATGGTTGGGGAGAGGAAAGGTTCCTTTTTTTAGGGTACCCTCGGGAACAGATCCAGTGGAGACAGGGTGGGGTCTGTAGCTCAGAGGATTAGAGCACGTGGCTACGAATCACGGTGTCGGGGGTTCGAATCCCTCCTCGCCCACAACCGGCCAAAAAGGGAAAGACTTTTCCCTCTGGGGGTAGGAAAATCATGATCCGGATAGCGGACCCAAAGCTATGGAACTTGGGTGTGGGTCTTTTGTCGAAATGGAATGACCTTATCTTTTTATTTTTTCTTTTTCGTTAATGGGTTAAGAGCAGGGGTTCCGTTATAAATTAAATATAGTATACTCAACCCGAATCAACGCTTGTACACTATTAAGGATTCGATCTACAAACTTTATACACAAATAAAACCATTGGAAATGGGAAGATGAAAGATTTACTAAAACTCAATGGATTAGAAGTTCTAAACAACATTATATTGATAGTATAAAGAGTTTTTGTCTATAGTGAGTCAATTTATACTCAATATTGCATAAATATCTATTATGTTAATTATTTACAAAACTACATTTTCTCCTTCATACCCACAGCCTCCGACGACACAAGCGAATGGCAGGACCTCCAATCACGAACTCCAACTTCTTCCAAGCCCGAAAAAAGTTTTTGAAAAGAAAATAAGGATTTTGATATTTTAAATTTTGTTTTAAAATAAAAAGGTTTCTCTTTTCTAATAAAGAAAGTTTTTTTTTTGAAATAAATATAAAGTTAGTTTTGTTTAAATAAAAGATTTTAATTTAAAATCTTGGTTAAAATACCTTAAAAAAAGGAGTTTTATAAAATAAATCTTGTTTTAAAAAAAATTTTGGATTCTTTTAAATTTCAATTCAAAGTTTAAAAGTTAGTTTTTATTTAAATTTTTTTAACAAGGTTTACTTTTTTTTTTGGTCAACTTTGTTTTATCTTTTAATTTAAAAGAGTATTCTGCAAGATTTTAAAAAAAAGGAGATAAAAACAGAGTCTTTTCTATAATAAAATCTCATTTTTTAAATTTTCTTTTAATGGTTTATGGTGGTTATGATTTTGAAAAGAATCTTAACAAAAAAAATCAATTTTTTTTAGCAAATAAATTTTGTTTAAAGTAAATTTGACGTTATTTTTAAATAAAAAAATTTTCTTTTAAATAATCTCGCTAATTTCGAAATAAATAAAAAAGTTA